AGACCGGATGTGAGATTCACCAAGATTACAAACACATTTCTGTTTATTCATCCGTTCGATCTAGATGTGGATCGAACTCGTGCAACATGACTCTCATTTCGGAAGTACATTTTAGTTCCCAATTTCATACCTGTACATGGATGGCTATGGGAGAGGTGCATTTATTCCGAACTTTATCTCCTGCTACTACGTCCTTAGTTCTGTTGTATCACCGTTTGAATTTGTGTGACCTCGGATGTCAAGAGAATGGTGTTCTTTTTATAGTAGCTTATTTTATTTTGCAACTGCGGCGTCAGCAGTCGTCGTCGAAGTCGAGAAATCGTACATCTGGATGTCATTCGACTATGTCGCATTTGATGTGGTGAATGATGCTCGAAAGATTAGGCGTTGGGAGGATGAACTGTGATGAAAGTCAGGGTGTTGCGCACGTTCCTTCAATATCTGCCATTGATTTTGCTCACCATGTGGGGTGGGTAGAAGTGGATCCCATTTATTTTGCGTTTGCATGATTACGACCGCGGGAAAGTGATCCTGTTTAGCATACCGTTTTTGTCCTATAGACTAATTTCCATGATTCCCACGTGGGGTTCCACTATGCCCTTGAGTAATTGAAGCGAATTCAATGGCACAATTGACCGGGACCAAGATTGATGAGAATCCCATGTTCTTGGTTCCAAACTGTTCTCATTTCGGTTTCCTGGGTTTCAGCAAAACATGTAAACCGTAAATGTTTGAAAGCAGTGTGACAAAACAAATCCTCGAAAAGGTAGGAGTTAGTCGGTAGAAATATGCATCAAACTATTGCATGGTGCACGTTTACCGAAAGTTGTATGTATTTGTGTATTTCACGTGCGTCTGTTTGTGGGCGGAATTCCACCTGGTTGCTCAGACCAAGCCAGGGGAATTCTCTTGAAGAATTCATAACTGCAGCCTTCGGTTGGGTGAATGCATGATCCGCAAGGCAACGGGGCGGTGTATGAAATTCGCCATCTATTGGGGGCCGGTGTCCAGGTCATCGGATCGTACGCTCATTTGGCGGGGTTAAACGTCCAGAGTTTCCAATACATCTTAATGCTTAGGAAGGTGTGGGTGTGTACAGTTCATACACTTCTTGGTTTGTTTGGAATCTGGGCTTTTAGCCAATTCACATAGATGAACTGTCAGTGATTCAGCGACCCAGTTATAGCCCGCGGATGTCGTTCTTTCGTCATCTCATTTTGGTGGGAAAACAGCTTCTCCCCTGGGGAAGGTGTTGAATAGGGCTTCCATAGCAGAGGCTATTTGAGACGCTTGGTCTTATGGAAGCAGTTGGCTTAGTGCAACCCGAGACACCGCCCCCTCCAACCAAACTGATTCTTTCAGAGGCCTTACCAAAAGGGAAAACGTGTTAATAAAAATTGCTACTTAGGCTAAATAAAATTGCACAGGACTGCACCATGGAATTGAAACTTATGTACCGTTTACAAAACAGCACAAGCACGCAGGACTTCGCAAAGAGATTACACATCTGTTTTCGCTTCTTCATCCCTAATTCCTGTGACACACACCGTGCCCCGTGCAAAAATCGATGACGGTGAATGAACTGCAAAATAAATCAATGGTTTATTATTCTGTTCGCTGATCCGTTTAAAATTTGGACGTGTTCGAACGCCAGTTAGATTGGCGCACAATCGTATGTAGACGAAGGGGCGGGATGAGCCAGGAGGCAGGTTTTACGCTACCACCGGGAGGATCATTGTAAGGCACGAGAGCCTCTTAAAACTGTGCACATTTACATTCACGTCTGAATGACTTGGGTGACAAAAACATTGGAATGCAACCAAGATACAAACAGACGAAAAATATATGAGCCCCAATGCAATGACAGACACTCCCACTTGTATCTGAAACTGGTCTTAGTTCCAGTTCACATTTCACTAGTTGAGCTGGAGCGGATCTCAATCTTCTACCAAATGATCACTCCCTCTCCGTGTTGTTTGAAGTCATGATCGTTTGGATTACAAATACTAATATCCAGTGCGCTATTTTCACTAAACCGATTCCGAGTAGTTTATAAAACTCAAGCCCACCTCCGGCCTATCCCGCTCGTCAGATATGTACGTCGGTTGATTCGCAAACAACAATAAATTTGATCATAGGACAGCTTAGATTCGACTACTTAGCATCATTTTATTCTCAGCTGTTCACAGGAATTCGTGAAAGCTTCGCGTCTCGTTGCAGCTTTGCCTGGTTAAATGTTTTCCCATGTAATTCTCATTGTTCTGATCCGAATTCCCATTAGAGNNNTACCACGTCATTGATCGTGGTCTGGCACATGTGTGTAGGTAAAATCGTTTTCTTTTCCTCTGGATCATAATTACCGTAGTTACCGATCAGGTATTCGTCTGAGTTAAAGTTAATAACAAACTGAAATTTGTTGATGCTACCGTATCAGAAATTATCACCTTTAGAAGATCTTCAACTACACAAACTTTCTCTCATTTTGGTGATAGTCTAACTTTCCAAACTCCTGAAGTGATTTAAGTAGACTAAGAGAGTGAATTTGGACAATAGAACCGTTTCGGCCCACGTAGACGTGCCTGCCTGTCCACATTCAAGCTGATGTGTATTTTCATCCACACATATGTCAAGTTTCACATGATAAACTTCACTCTAAATGAGATAATTCAATAAATGGCATATGTCAGACAAAGAAAAAAAAAGGGCTCGTCAAGCAAGCAGCTCGGATGGAAGTCGTTCGGTTTTTTTACCACTTGATTGATTCTTCGTGACTCGGTAGTTGCCACCGAAGCATTGAAGGGCTTCATTGTTATAAACTTTGTTTAGCTGTACTCGTCACAGGATGGGGCATATCATTCAGTTAGATGTGAAAATGACAAGTTTTTTTTTTTAATTTTACCCACCACTGACACACTCCTGTTCCAAGCCGGTTGCGCAAGAATTCACTCTCCCGAATAACCATTATCTTTCAGCTCCAACAGAACTCAAACGCAAACTCCGTATTTTCCAACCAAATGGCTGTTTGACCAAGCTGACGACTGCACATGAAGATGCAATCTGAAAGATAGTTAGTTTAGGTGTATGGTAATATCAACCATTTACCACAAGTTTAAACTAGTTTTAAGTGAGAATGCGGTACACTTTGTGACCGGTAAGATACATTCTGCTACTCAGACTAGCCACATTCACAGATGATTTTCATGGGGCTTTTAAAAAATGAAAGGTATTATGACAGTCGAATGATAGCTCTTGGTTTACCTGTTCCCGTTACAGAGATGTGTTTCAGTCTGATTCATCCGTAGTGAAATCTTTTGGATAAAGTTTAGGTCGAATGTAGTTCTCGATTGTTGCTTATCTTACTGAGAAGACAACTACTTCTAGCCCAATTTTTTGACTTAGTGAACTGATGCCTTGGGTCAATTTAATACGGCACGGTAGTTTATCATCCGTGGTATTCGGAAACTCCAAACAGAAGTGTTTAAATAAAAATCCGGTTTCCGAATCACCGATGCGATTCCAAAGTTCATTTATCTTACGAACACAGGAACATATGAGACACTAATCAATAATTCTATCTACAAGACACGGATCTGAGTTGGAATGATTGATGGCCGGCAGTAGCGTCGTATTTTGAAGGAATTAGTGGAAACACAATCTGATTGTTTCATTTATCGAAATATCAAATAATAGAAAGTTGTTTATTTTACCCCAAATTGTATCGGAATAATTTTGATGTATTTGTGAAGAAATAGAGCGTGTTGTACGGAGTGTTAAATTCTATTGCATTGACCAATGCGGACTTGTTTCGGTCTTGACTGCTTTGAAAATTGGACCCGGCTTCTGACCTGTAAAATGTGCATATACAAAGAGGAACTTTCGATAAGCCCTTTGATATATATTGTGATTAGACGAGGTGAGACCGCTTGACCGGCTACCCGGGCTGTATCGTGATGAGTACACTTGGCTGCGTCGCGTTATACCCTGAACGATACATGTGAATTTTTGATTCGATCAATTCACAATGCTTAGACTGTCCGATGAGGTTTGATCAGCTGTGTAGTGCTTTTCAGTTTATGCTCCCTCCGTTCGCTCATTTTTCAGACCAAATTCATCCCACAATACAAAAAAAAAATGAATTTTCTACTGCTCTAACAGTGATACCTACTCAGTGCAGAATTAGTATCGGAACAAACTGTCAGCTGAATAAATGACATCATGATAACAATACCACACAAGGATACTTTATGATTTTTTTCTTTTTATTCAATTTATAGAAGTATATAATTGCAAAAAAGGTGGTCAAGAAGTTGAGAACACCCAATTGATGTAGTGCCACTTGGAAAATTGAAACATACAACTTTTAGGGACGTTAATTTTGTAATCTAGCTTAGATTAGTGCATAAGACATAAGATTCGCGGATTTCCATCAAGCGCATGAAGCCCCTGTTGTGTCTGCAGAAGGAGGTCTACATCAGTCTGCTATTGCCTTGGTAACCACGTAGTCGGAAAAGTGAATGGACACCATGTTAGATTACCAAACACATGTGATCTATAAACTAGTTTGTACTCTGCAATAACCACCAGCTGAGGTGCAGCGAAATGATTCTGGAATTAAGTTGGTTGGCAATTTTGTGTACTTTGTTGAATTTTATTTCGGGGAATAATCACTTTAATTGTACTAATTGATAAACAAACGATTATGAGCGATATATTCGAAGTCGTCGAGACGTAAGGGTAACAGTATGGATTTTACACCAAAGACTTGATCTTGAAACTAAAACACTTAACCTGACACATTGGGGCTCGTGGATACCTAACCCACATGAAACTCACGATATTTTCCATTCCGTTTTCGTTCGCGAAGGACCCGCTTCATGAAGCGACATCAAAATTATTTATATTTTCAATTATTTACCCCAAATAATTGCAAGTTCTCAGAACATCAAGCTCTTTAGTTCTAGACGCAAATTTGTACAAAAATTCGAAACCAAGATTTCCACATGCCAGACGAAGTGAATAACTTTAATTTATATTTTTATTCTTTTTTGCCCACCCTAATCCTGCCAGCTTCCCAACAACGTTCTTGAGGCGAATGCAGGCTTTCATCGTGAAATATCACTCAATTCCTCGACCCGACAAAGCGCGGAAGAAGAACTGTCCTGGGGTGTGGACACCCGAATCCCGGTTCCTCCTAAACGTTGTGCATTTGCTGAGGTAAGTCGGCTTTTTTGGTGTGGAAAATGTGAGCTATGAAAAAGGACTGCAGAGAAACTGTCCAAAATGCACAGTCTAAACGAGGTCTTCCTCGTCAGCGTAGCACATGAGCAGTAATTCACTCCCCCCGCCCCGGTCATGACTAAATCCTTGAATCCTTGAATTAGTTTCACGGGAACCGTTCGACACATTTCCTTCATTGCTTTTGGTTCAATTAATAGAGATTCTTTAGCCTTCCAAGAGCTGATTGTCTTCACATTCTCGCAGAGGTTATTAGGTTTTATTAGCCTCGATTTCCATTAATCCTCAAAGATCACGTGTTGTATCAGAGTGTTATTCCTGGTGTATGCCTCTGTTCCCCAGGGTCTCATCTGGTGAGAGTTGGGTAAGAAAACTGCCGATTCAGTTTTACTAGTCATGTCAGATATCCTTACATACCTGATTGGTAATCTCTATAAACTAAATCATAAATCCAAGCCATTTTTAGAAATGCAACCGGTACAGGTCGTGGGTCTTTGTTTCTCGTCCGGTCTAACCCTCTTGCTTAACATTATTAGTATTCCATCATCTAAGCACATTCATGGTGGTGACCCGGTGGTAAAGTTACCAAATTATCACCCCGGAAGACGCGTGTTCCAAAACCACCAACATCATCACCACCACCATCACAGTCTGACTTTCCCCATTGGGTTATATAGTAGGCCTTTGATTGGCCGCTTCCCTCTTCCTGAACTTTGCCTCATTGTGTACTCAACAACGGGAAATGAGAATGAAAAAGAAGAATTCAGTTGTCGAAATAAAAGTGTCCAATTAACTTATGGAGAAACTATATCAGTCAAAATGGGTTAGTTCTTAGTGACCCCACTTGGTTACATAACACAGAACAATAGTGATAATTTCATTCGTAAGGAGGTACAGCTTGTGTAGGAATTGAAACTACACACAGTGAAAACAGATCGCGTTTACTCGACTGCATCGGGTCCTACAGGAATTCTCTCTTGGTTCTCGCCTTTTCCCTACATGCACAAATGACGAAGGAAACGTTATTGTTTGCTAATAACACTGATTCCCGGAGAACGCGCCCAATCTTGGGGATTGTTTTGCACGGCGGGAAACACTTGGTGCAGCTAACCGGGTGGCTATCATCAATGAGAATGAATTCAACTTCAATTCACTTCCGACGCGCAACCTAGTGCGTCTGTTACACAACCGCGTTGAACGGAGGTCAGGACAATATTAGCGTCTTGGAGAAAATGTTTTTACAAGCAAAGCATTGATCCAGATGAACTGTTTCACGTTAAGGAGAAAAGGACTATCCAGGAAATCTTTATACAAAGGCAAACCAGGACCTATTCTCTGTCCTGGTGTTCTACTGTCCCTAAGAATAGGGTTTGTGCAATGATTACTTTCAAAATAGATGTGTTAGTTGAATTGCTTACTCATCAACTACTTTACATCATCGGAAAAACGTAAACTGCTGCTAAGCCCTGTCTCTCCTTTAATACAAAGGCTGTGTTGCAATAACAACTTTACGGCCAATTACCCAGCCAATCTAATTCATTTTGTGTGTGCTCTTATCCCGTGCTCCCGTGAAGCGGAATACGTAGGAAGGATCCCTAATAGGTGATTTTCGGAGAGGATTCAAAAACACTGTCCAGCTTGAACTATCGAAAGGGCTCATTAAGGATGCCACTACTGCCGTTCTGACCCCGCACTCGACACGGGTCCGGAACTGACACGAAAGTGGGCATGCAAGGGTAGCTTATAATAAATCCAAAGTGGTGATATCCAGTATCCTGTCCACAGTCGAAGCGATCACGATCAGGCTAAAGCGACCAATACGGTGATCACAAAAACAGTTTGTCAAGACCTTACTGAAGCCTTGTCCGAAGATCGGTGGCACTGTGTGGAACAAACACACCAGTCTGACTCATCCTTGACTGGTTGTCCATCCGGTCACACAGTCTTCAATTTCACAAACATCACAATAACTATATGAGCACTTACAACACTAGAGATTATCATGCTGTCTTGGGTCTGCATGAACAGTGTGCCGGAAAAATACATGTCTTTGTTACTCTCAGACTTATCTGACATTACAGTGGGTATACTTTGTAACCTGGAATCCTGTTCCATTCTATCCCAATTGATTCGTGAGAGTCACGACTCGATAAAGTGGAAGTGGATGAACGTTTGTTCTACCATGCCAAATTCAATACGGAACAATCGTTGATGCGATCTATCAAACTTGGCTTCTTATGTGTTTCGTGTATGGGACAAAATTTGTTTTCGATTAGCGTATCAAAGAGAAAAATACACGGTACAGCAAATGATCGAAACAGTCGTATTGCGCAATATCGTCTGGAAACAAAACGATTAAACAAACGAAACTCGATTATGTGCACACCCATTCTTCTTGCGCAATCGGGACAAAGTTTCTGCTCTAATTTGGAGCACAAAGGGGCCAGTGGAAGAATGATCAATGCTTATTTGGAGAGAAAGAAACGATGCCGATATTGGTACGTGTTGGAAGTTTTACATAGACACTACTGAGTTGGAAATCGGCCAACTGATGTAGCATATCTTGTCCGCTACATACAAATGTTCAATGAACAATTTGAGTACCAGCATTTTGACATCATTTGTGACTAATTGCTTTTCGAGTATGACATTGATTACCTTAAAGTCATACCTATTTGGGTTGCAGATCCAACGAACAGTCAATGCTTATTAATCACATTCAATCAGTTGAGAATCGGTAGCGCAATGCCGGCGGTAAATTGATCGAACTCCAAAGGTTCTCACACACAGATTTACGGAGATGGTGTGATAAATCTCCGTGCAGTCTAGATAACGTGAATGACAGGGGAATTTCTATTTGGGGGGACCGGGGGGGGGGGG